GCTTGAAAGCAAAGCTCTGCATCCGTGGTAAGAATCTGCTATACGAGCTTTGTGAGAAGCACGATATAGACCACCGCCGCACGGGCAAATGGATCGTCGCTCAAAACGACGCACAGCGTGAAACTCTTGAAAAGATTCACTCTCTGTGCGAGAACGACCTCGGTGTCCCAACGCGATGGGTGAGCGGTCAAGAGGTCAAGAGAGACGGTGAAGGCGTCAATGCTGCTTGTGCGCTTGAGAGTCCGACAACGGGCATCGTCGACTCGCACGGCTTGATGTTGTGTCTCCAAGGTCTATTTGAGGATGCTGGTGGTGTTTCGGCGCTCAATTCACCCGTCGTGAACATCAAAGCTCTCGGATCTAAACCCGGCAGTGAAGGTTGGGAGATTGATGTTAAGGATTCTGCCACGGGTGAGACGTCGAGTATCACGGCTGAGACGCTCATCAACGCTGCTGGTCTGGGAGCTGCGGTTATTCACAACATGATCGTCCCGTCTGAGAAGCGACAGGAGCTGTACTATGCCAAGGGCAACTATTTCTCGTATTCTGCCTCTCAGCCCAAGATCTCGCGTCTCATATATCCCGTTCCTGAGCCTGGCATTGCAGGTCTAGGCACTCATTTAACGCTTGATCTTGCGGGACGTCTACGTTTCGGTCCGGATGTGGAATGGATTGATGATCCCAATGATTTAGCTGTCAACGCAGCACGACTGCCGCAGGCTATCACTGAGATCCAGCGTTATCTTCCGGGTATTGACGCCTCAGCTTTGGTAGCAGACTATGCTGGTATTCGACCCAAGTTAGCTGGCCAAGACGCTGTGCTCAAAGGCAAAGGGTTCCACGACTTTATCATCAGGAGAGAAGAGGGCTACGAGGGCTGGGTAAATCTATTGGGTATCGAAAGTCCTGGATTGACAAGCTCACTAGCAATCGCTGAGATGGTACAAGAATTGCTCTACGGGTCCAGCAAGTCACTCTAAAGCATAGTATTTGGTTGGTCGTAGCTAGAATTCGTTGAATTATATTCAAGCCATCATCGATAACAGCTAAGCTATAAGTGAGCATGTAAGAAGCGAAAGATAATGTAATGTGACTTAGATAAAACATCGCAAACGCCATGTCAAGAAGAGGTAGGAATGTACTCAAGGTATCCTTTGCCCATGCTAATACTGAACCGTCGTCACTGGTCATCACTTTTGGTATATCAAGATATCACCCCAAAGCTACTATTAAAAACCACCTGCGCCAGCACAAAGGTTCGCGTCCCCTCGTTGAATCCTGGCTCTTTACCTCATCGAAACGCTCGGGAAGAACTTCCTGCTCTGGGTGTCCACGTGGAGCTCGTAAATACCGTTCTGTGCACCAACAAAGCTACGTCATGTTAGCAAAAAGCGTATACAGAATGACCAAAAGCAGACTTACAGTGTGCGACCATCTTCGCTCCACGCCAACCCGGCAGTGTTGTCCGGCGAAGGCGGGACTTCGAAGACACCGTGGTCATCCTCCCATCGATTCACCACCTGGTTGATAAGCGGCACTATGATCGTTGTATCGTCGGGGTCACGGTCGTTATCTCGCTCTCGTGCCTGGAGAATCTCAAGCACAGTGAGGTAGGATGAATCTTGGCGCTGCCGTTGTTCCCGAAGCATGGCCACTGTTTCACCAAGACTCTCCATCAACCGATCTGGCCTTCTTCCAATTTCCGCGGTGTCGGAGGCTTCACGTGGAGCTCTTGTCACTGGACGTCTGTTGTAATTGCTGCCCAGCAGCTCTCCCATGGCACGACCGATACTACTGCTCCTCCGAGGCATAGGCCGCTCATTGTCATCGCTACCAACAGGTCGACGGGCTGACCTGGCCGCCCAGAAGTTAGTCGGACCACCTGTAGCCCTCTCGTCCGCCGCCGCCGCCACTCTCTGAGCAGCTCTTTCACGACTACGCCTACCAAGCTGCATAGCCTCGAGTACAAGTGTCTCGTTGGCAGACAGAGGAGTATTTAGGCTGTCGATCACATCTCGGCGTCTCCCAGTCTCTGTAGCGCCTGATCCGAGAGCAGCTTCTCTTCTCTCGCGGCGGCTATCCAAAAGCCGCGGATCAATGGTGTTTCGATCAGGGATGTTGATGTGCTCGAACACCGGTTCTTCGATGTTCACAATTTGACGAACATAAAAATTGCTCCTCATATCAGCGATACCAACATTGCCTCTGTCCTCTGTCCACGCAAGCATTCCGAATGGTCCGGGACAGAAGGCCATATCTCGAATAGCACCAGGGCCACTGTGTGGCCGTGAGGACGGGAAAGTTGTGATAAGGGGATCGGCATTAGGATTTGCCAGAAGTGCAGCATTGAAGATGGAGATGGTACCATGTTGGGTCCCAACAGCGAGATATGCTCCGGATTCAGAAAAACAGGCGGCAAAGCTTCCTCGACTATCTGTTCTGTCGTCTTTCTTTTGGCTCTTGAGAAGTATTCTCTGTGTCTGTTCCCATGAATATGTAGGGCTTTCACTTGACCTCGTCGCTGGAGATTCCGCAACGCTCCTAACTCTCTCATGGACATACAGATATGGGTCATCGAGAATGGCGATTAAAAGCCGGCCGTCTGGAGAGATGAGTGCGCGGTTCACGAAGTCTGGGTAAGTGATGATATCCAATGCCTCTGTCTTCTCTTTCTGGTCAAAATCGTTAAGGCTCACGAGTGTAACAGTACGGTCGTTGTTGGCCAATACCGCCACAGGCTCTTTATACGCCTTATCATGTGCTGGCATCCTTGTTGGCGGGAACCAAAGTGTGATGCAGTTTACCCGGTCCTTGGCCAACTTCATGCTTTTCGCGATCAGGGTTTTGTTGTTCCGTCTCGCGCGGTTCAGAAGAGATAGTATAGGGTCATCACGGGACGAATCGAGCCCTAGGCTAAGTCGAGTGTCTGGATCGAGTTCTGATAAGATTCCTTGGCCATCATCGTTTCCTTCATCGAGTCGAATTGCCACGAAATCGCCACTCTCGCTCCCACAGCATAGCCATCCTTTCTCGGCGACGAGGCACCGAGGCGCAAAGGTGAGGAGTTTGATGGTTTCGCATTCTCGGGTTGTCGTGTTCAGTCGTTGGACATGGTTACTGCCATTGCCACCTGGAAAATAGACAATGTCCTGCTTCTCGGCGCTAACGAGAGACCGTAGCTGCCAATGTCTGGAGATATCATGAGCATGATGGCGCCACAACAAGATGAATTATGACATACTGTGAGCGCACGGGGATACGATAATGTTTCCGCGCATGCTTCGAAACGAGAGCATCGGTCGGGTACATGCTGGACGATGTTAGTATTGATACAATCAATGGTCATGATTGATAAGCTCGTTGGCTATAAGGGTCGCCATACTCATTCTCATCTATCGCCATCTTGGACCACGCCGCCCCTCAAAGGGAGCGACAATGCGGAGAATTACGAGCTACCGGGTGGCTGGATATCGATACGATGAGGCTTTGTCCTGCGTATGAGTTGTCGAGCTCTCGATTTCGCCGGCGGCTAGTGGGCGCAACGCGAGCGGCACGGTTATGGCGAACAATGCGACAGGCAGATTGCGGATGATGGGGAGTGCGAGACTATCGAGTTGTGTATTTGTTTTCCGATGTGAAATGACGGTTACGGGAGCGTAATAGAAGAAATGTCGTTGGCCGAGTCGGGCGATTACTGATGTGGGTTATGAAGGTTGCATGCGCGAATGACGTCTGGCTTGATCTGATTTAATGGGCGAGGGTCTACGGGATAATTTCAGGACCGACCCCAACTCAATGATCAGCCAAGATCAGGTATAGCTCGATTCAGTGTCAACTAAATCACTTTTTTCTCCTTAGTTGAAGATATTTGAACACCCTTGATACACCAGGCTAACGTTATTTACTACGTACCGTAGTATTGGGAATTGTAACTACGAAAAAACATCTCAATCCAGGGTTCTGCTAAGATGAAGCTAGTTCTCGGTGTCTCTAATGGAGAATACGCACAGGCCATCAAACATCATGAATTATATCACTTCCTGTCACCACCAGATATATTAGAAGGTGGTTATTGCAATGGAGATAGCCAACGAGAACGGACAACAACTGAGAAGGAATTCTTATCTATGAATATACTATGCCCCTGTTTGAAAGAATAGGACTGTTAACTGGTGAAATGTGAAGCCATCGAACACTGACTCTCATAAGCTGTCTAGGTAGGCTGTCTCCATGCCGTCATCAGCCTTGCAGCTAGCTACCGTATAATACTTACTGAAAGCATTCTATCATGACACCAGTATCAATCTATCTTAGACTAGCTGACTCGCGTATGACAGACAGCTTCGTACAAGGCCCCGAGTTATGAACCTCTTGACATGCCCGAGCCAAATCCGTTACTTTTCCGGTAACACCGAAGCATCCATCACGTGTGGTGAAGCTTTTCTCAGCCATCTCTGGGGGAAGAGGAGCACTTCTCATTAGCGTGCAGCGCGGGTCTTCTCATTGCGTCCGATCCCCATTGGCTCCGCATATTCGGGATACAAGGTCGAGAAGAGAGGGTGTTTTGTATCATGAATTGAGAAGCGTAGGAGTTCGAGTAGGCATGGTGCAAAGTTGCATATTAAGCATAGATAGCCGTTAGGTACTCTAAATCTTCTCTCGTCAATTGACTTTCATGATAATGATATGCTTTACCGGGAGCCGTTCCGTTGATTCTACCAGATCTTTCAAGTAGGTTCGGAGTGGGCCTCCACAGGAATAACCATGGTCCGAACCTAGCCGGTTCAGTGGAGACAACCCGGTGCTTGCCTCTTTCCTTTGGCTTCTATGACCGACCGGGGAAAGAGCTTTTTTCGAGTAAAAAAATTCGTTCCTCTCGATTCCATCATCTCCATTCAGACTCAATCCTCTAAAACACCACCTCCTCCCATCTACTCTCCGACTTGCGCCTTCATCCTGTTTCTTTTCCTGTACTCTATACCCATATACCCATAATCAAAATGCTGGCTTCGCGCTTGTCGAGGGCTGTAAGTGTCTCTCTTACACCGCAATCGCTTCATCCCACATTGTACTGACCATCGCATCAGCTTCCCCGAGCTTCCCCTCTCGCCGCTCGCTCGGCTGCTTTCACCCGATCTCCTCTGGCTGCCAAGTTCGCTCGCTATGAGTCCACTGAGTCTGACGGCAAGGTCCAGGGTGCCGTGATCGGTATCGATCTTGGTACCACCAACTCTGCCGTCGCTATCATGGAGGGCAAGGTCCCCCGCATCATTGAAAACTCGGAAGGTTGGTTTTACTTGCCAATTCGTCTCACGGACAACCACTAAACATTGCTCAATTAGGTGCCCGAACCACTCCTTCAGTTGTTGCTTTCGCCGAGGATGGCGAGCGACTTGTCGGTGTCGCTGCCAAGCGTCAGGCCGTCGTCAACCCAGAGAACACCCTCTTCGCTACCAAGCGATTAATAGGACGCAAGTTCAAGGATGCTGAGGTTCAGCGTGATATCAAGGAGGTCCCTTACAAGATCGTCCAGCACACAAACGGCGACGCCTGGGTCGCTGCTCGTGGCCAGAACTACTCTCCCTCTCAGATTGGTGGTTTCGTCCTCAACAAGATGAAGGAGACCGCCGAGGCCTACCTCTCCAAGCCCATCAAGAACGCCGTCGTCACCGTCCCCGCTTACTTCAACGACTCACAGCGACAGAGCACCAAGGATGCCGGTCAAATTGCCGGTCTTAACGTTCTCCGTGTCGTCAACGAGCCTACTGCCGCCGCCCTTGCCTACGGTCTGGAGAAGGAGGCTGACCGCGTTGTCGCTGTCTACGATCTTGGTGGTGGTACCTTCGATATCTCTATACTTGAGATCCAGAATGGTGTCTTCGAGGTCAAGTCCACCAACGGTGACACCCACCTTGGTGGTGAGGATTTCGATATCCACCTCGTCCGCCACCTTGTCCAGGACTTCAAGAAGACCTCTGGCATTGACCTGTCTGGTGACCGCATGGCTATCCAGCGTATCCGTGAGGCCGCTGAGAAGGCCAAGATCGAGCTTTCTTCTTCCCTCTCTACCGATATCAACCTTCCTTTCATCACTGCCGACTCCTCCGGTCCCAAGCACATCAACATGAAGCTCAGCCGAGCTCAGCTTGAGAAGATGGTTGACCCTCTCATCACCCGCACCATCGAGCCCGTCCGCAAGGCTCTGAAGGATGCTGGCCTCTCCGCTAAGGAGATCCAGGAGGTCATCCTCGTTGGTGGTATGACCCGTATGCCCAAGGTTGCTGAGTCCGTCAAGAGCATTTTCGGCCGCGACCCCGCCAAGTCTGTCAACCCCGATGAGGCTGTTGCCATTGGTGCTGCTATTCAGGGTGCTGTCCTCTCTGGTGAGGTCAAGGATCTCCTCCTCCTCGATGTCACCCCTCTGTCTCTCGGTATTGAGACCCTCGGTGGTGTCTTCACCCGTCTGATCAACCGAAACACCACTATCCCCACCAAGAAGTCCCAGGTCTTCTCCACCGCCGCCGATTTCCAGACTGCCGTCGAGATCAAGGTCTACCAGGGTGAGCGTGAGCTCGTCAAGGACAACAAGCTTCTCGGAAACTTCCAGCTTGTTGGTATCCCCCCTGCCCACCGTGGTGTCCCTCAGGTCGAGGTTACCTTCGACATTGATGCTGACTCCATCGTCCACGTTCACGCCAAGGACAAGTCCACCAACAAGGACCAGTCTATCACCATTGCTTCCGGTTCCGGTCTCTCTGAGAGCGAGATTGAGCAGATGGTTGAGGACTCCGAGAAGTACGCTGAGGCCGACAAGGAGCGCAAGGGTGCCATCGAGGCTGCCAACCGTGCTGACAGTGTCCTAAACGATACCGAGCGTGCTCTCAACGAGTATGCTGACAAGCTCGACAAGACTGAGGCCGACTCTATCAAGGAGAAGATCACCACTCTCCGTGAGTTCGTCGCCAAGAACCTCTCTGGTGAGGGCACTGCCACCGCCGCTGAGATCAAGGAGAAGACCGATGAGCTCCAGGTTGCCAGCTTGAACCTCTTCGACAAGATGCACAAGGCCCGCAACGAGAGCAGCGGCGAGCAGTCTTCCTCTTCCGAGCAGTCTCAGGAGGGTGAGAAGAAGGATGAGAACAAGCCTTAAGAGTCTTGATTCTGTGTTATAAAAACTTGTTACAATATCTGAGGATGGGAGATCTGTGCGGCTCAGATCTCCCACCTGTCCTGTATTTCACTGTATTCATATCCCGCCTAGCCGCTTTTACACTTTTTACCCGTATTATGTTTCAGGGTTGGCGGATCTGGCGTTGGAGCTTTAAAACCTCTATTGAGAGAGATCTTTGGTTGTTTTTTTGAGATGATGTCACGGAATGGGGGATCATGTTGTATATCTGTATCATGACTTGCCTATAGGTAGACTAATCGCACATCCCCCCTCAAAACATGTTTACCTTGATGGTACATAATATGACTTGATGTTTCATGCACGCACGTTTCTCTGCTTATGATTATGATGGTGTTAAATATGTTGGTATTCAATGAAATAGTAGTGATCGTGTTATATCATGACATCCATCCCCAAGCAGTATTGAGTCTGTTCACACCATGCCAGTGAATCGTTTTCGCTTTCTTCTGACCCTCTTTATCCCCCACACTCTCTAGCGGACTCCCTCCATTTAACTCCATCATCGAACGCGCAGGCTTTAACCTTGATGTCTGTGGTGCTGGCAACTGGAAAGTATCGTAAAGTGACCCACGGTTATTAGGATTTCGAAGCGGTACTCGTTCACCACGGAAAGCAGTATCCGCAAACAGAAGCTGGCGAGATTCGATCTCGACCTCAGAAACTGGTCTCGCTTTTTGATCGTTTCTTTTCTTTTTGCTTCTTCTGCTGCTTCCGCCTGATGACGATGGTGTTGGTGAGGGCGGGGGATATGTGGTGTCGAGAAACCAGCCGCGGCGTTGGGAAAGGCGACGCTCAAGGAGTTGACGGAGGATTGAAACGAAGAGAGATACGACGGCGAGAACGATTATTATGGCGATGATAGTCGCTGGATAAGGATGTATCGAGGTGTGCTTGGGATGCCAGCTTCGCGATGGCGCTTCCAAGGATGGGTCTTGGTCCATCCTGCGCAGCTTTAATAGGTACTTAGTGAGAGTGAGTAAAGAAAAGAGAACAAAGACAAGAGAATGTGAGCCTGAGTGAAAAATGAATGTGAGGCTAAGAAAAATCAGAGAGCTTGGACCGCTTGGTATAGAGGCCCAACAAGCATCTCGCGATCAAGATTGAAAGGTGAAGCACAGTTGAAGTTGAAAACGGAAGGATGAAAGTATCACTACAAGTATCACGAGATGTTCAAGAGTAAACAAACAAGGCCCCATCAGTCACGAAGCAGGCTACGGCGAAGAACCAAGGTCCTGTCTTGTACAGGAATGGAGTAGAATGAGACCAAGCAACCATGAACTAGTCGACAACAAGGAACAGGGATGGATATATAAGACATTTCACAACCAATTCGGCCATTAGCAAAAAGTGGATAGGACATTTGGGGAAAACGTGCTAAGGAATCCGCGACGTCAATAAATCGCTTTGCAGAATATATTTGACTATGACCTTCCGAAACCGAACCATCCTCTCTTCGCTGGAGCTGGTGATTCTGTCCTCTCAGGTGTATCCGCCTGAGCGGGCGCTGCTGCTGCCGCTTGTTGTTGCTGTTGCTGCTTGGGCGCCTTGTTGGGATAATCGATGTAGTTCCATGCCACGTCGAGGAAGATGGGCTTCACAGGGATGGTGGCAAGCTTAGGGGGGAATTCGACGATGTGCGACAGGTTGGCGCCACCAACGGGGTACTGATGCAGACTTCCGATGAGAGGTTGCTTCACGGCATCTGAAGTGCTCAGCTCGTGATACTTGCGGAGGGTATCGGCGTGAACAATAGCTCGGTGACGCTGAAGCTCGCCGTTGAGGAGAGTTTGGAGATACTCGACGTCTTCGGCGGACACGGTCAGATTGAGGGGGGTGCGGCTTGATGATCCGCCAGAAGATGAGATGTTTGACTGAGACTCATCGACAAGACCGTCTGCGTGGTTGATGAGAGCCAGAGCAGCAGCCAGGTTGCTAGAGATGGCATGTGAGCGAGCGATTGCCAGAGCCCTAGAGTTTTGTTAGAAAACAAGCAAATGCTAGGTTGAGGATGTGACTTACTTAAGAGCCTCAAAGTACTTTACGTAGGCGGCAATCTGCTCAGCCAGCCCCTGATCGTTGGCCACACCAGGGAGTTCTGTGATGGACTCAATGTTCTGCAGAATACCGTCATACAGAGCAACCTTCTCCTTCAGCTTAGCCAGCTTCTTGCCTGTAGGAACTTCCTTTACAGGCTTGGCTGCTTCTGGAGCTGGCTTGCCCTTTCGTTTCCTCAACACGCTGTACTCCTCAGGGGCGCCATCGTGTTCTCCTGTCAAAACTCTGCTGCGGCCAATTCTCCAGCTGATTGTCTCGAAGTTGACGGCGGTGCGTGTGATTTGCAGACTCTGCATCCTGGCATCACCCTGTTCCACACCCTCAGCCCTCATCTCGTCGATTGCCTGCTTAGTAGCATCAACAGCATCCTGGCTGAGCATCAAAATTTCGTCATAGGCACCAGCAAGTTCGTAAGGTCCTCGCCCCTTGGGTTCAGCAAGATCCTTGGCCAATCGATCCTTCGCAGCGATTACGGCACCCCACGCCATCGCAATCTGCGCATCTTCGATGTTGACCTCCCGAGACCTCCAAGTCAGGGTCTTGGGTGCGCCTTCAGCACTGGCGATTCCATCCTTGGCCTTTGCTTCGTCTGATTTGAGAATAGTGGGGTCGATATCGTTGATCTGTTTGACGAGGTTTGAGTCAGATTGAGGGAACGCCTTTCGAGCAATGATGGGAATAGGGACAGTTCGAGGTGTCTGGAGTTGGTAGGCGGCGTATCGGATAGACGGATCGATGGTTTCGGTGAGCAGGTCCTTGTATAGATCGCCATTGGTTGCAGTTGCAAGCGCACTGTAGATGACACGTGCCGTGGCATAGTTGCGCAAACTCGGTTCCCAGCTCTGCTTCTCGAATGCAGCGGTACCACGGATGAGAGAAGCGTATGCGATTGCCTCGAGGAGATCGGTTTGGGAGGCGCCAGATACGTCGGTTTGAGAGAGGGCTTCGACAAGCTCGTCGGCAGCACGTGTGGCCTTGGTGAGACGAGAGGCAATATGCGATCGAGTTCGGCCGGTGATTCCCTTGGTATCGCTCGTATGACCGGACTTCATGCTCATGGTATGAGCCCACGCTCGCTCGCTTGTCAGAAGAAGTAGATGGACATATCTGGTACCATGTCAGGCTAGTTTTCTTTTTTTGGATTTCGAGTCTCGGAATGTGCCTACTCATGGTTCTCTGCGATCTTTTCCGCAGTGACCTTGTCATGGTCGTGAAACTTTCCGCGATTCTTGGTGGCAATGTTGAGCTTCTTGCGGCAGCTTAGCAGTTTCTTGGACAAGCTCTTGTGATAAGTCGAGTAGTCGCCGTAGAGGAGAGCCTGGTCGCGGCCTTGGACGACGAATTTGGTGATATCCATGGCTGCTGGTGACGAGGGCGATTCGACGGCCCTGATTTGGTACGGAGAAGTGCAATTAACGATGCAAGGGGAGAGGCCCTGTAGATTTGTTGCGATGGCCTTTGGAGTGAGATTGATTAAGGGCTGATGAGGCTTTGCCCGACGTGGAGGTTCAGCGGGGGATCCAACAGCAAGGAAGAGGAAGGTGGGCGAAATGGCGGGGCAGTTTGCTCATCCACAAAAATTTCATGGTCGAGTTAAGTTAATTGAGGTGTAGTAAATTGTTAGTGGCGGCGCAGTCTGCATCATATCTCGACTTTATTCACTGACCCTGTTATAGGTACAAATTCGACTTTAATTCTCTATTGATATGTAGAAACAAGGACTCAACAAAAGCGAGGCTAATAATTTCTAAACAACAGATCAACGAGTTTAATAGTGGGAGGATCTCATTATAATTCTCATACAATGCTATGTGCCCTGCTCTAAGTTTGTAAAAGGTTTAATACACCTTCCTATAAACACTCAGTATAGAATTATTAGGTTGTCCTATCAGTATCATGAATATCGATCCATTATGGACTGATGATGGTAGGGAGCACGGATATAGGCGATAGGTAAAGTAGGTCTTGTTAGTTGGTATGGAGAGTAAGCAATGGCTTGTGTTTGGGCCTCTTTCACATGATCCAACGTATTTGTTTTAGAGGTTATCGGGGATCAAAACAGCCACATGCAGAATTAGTACGAAGCTTTTGAAACCAAAATATTGGTAGAGTGAGTGAGTGAGTGGTTGATTCGTGTTAGTCGTGGGATATTGGGATGCATCAGGAATTACGTGTTGTTTCTTGGTTGTTATGAGACCATCTTTTCGACTAGCTTGGGGCTGTTCCTGATGGTTTAATCTTCTATTGGCCCGTAGGAGATAGATCTGATAAAACAGCCCGTAGATGTAGTCAGAATCGAGAGGGAAAAAGCCTCGATTGCGTCCCGTCTTTTGATCATGTGCTCGCAGTTGACAAGAAAGGTGGGCACCTTTCACCCGTCTTGGTTTAGTTTTAGGCGCCCAGCGTGGGCTCTTTTGGCTGCGTGACCACTGCATCTCCATCTCCTCTCAGTGAAAGTCACGCTTTGTCACGCGCCATCCAGGGGACGTGCTTCCAAATCTACAGTACAGCCCAACTAAAAGATCAAGCAGGTATCTTTTGGTGCTTCACCCAAAAACTTGACTCTTTTCCTAGAGTCTGGTCATTGAAAAGGGCCATATCATTTCTCTCTAAATATCCATCTCAGTTCCTGTCATCTCTACAAACTGGAGCTCTTCCTTCTCTTCTTTGCCCCCTCCGTCCTTGATAACGAGGCCGGCGGCTTATCATCGCATCACATCGCCTTGCATCGTCTCGCCTCTTCACATTCAACTCAACTCAACTCAACCTCAACCTCAATCACGTTCAACTGAGAGTGCATGCACGTGATCGTTTAAAATATCTCTTCACTGCACTCTGCACTCTCTTTTTACCCGTTTTTGAGCACTCATCCCCCCTCCAACTGCTAGGTATATAAGGTACTT